TAATTAAAAGATAAACTTTTAGATAGGTTTTTAATAAAAATTTAAGGAAATTATCTGTAAAATACTTTTTTTATTATATTATTTATTTAGGTAAATATAATATAATAATTATTTTCACATTAATAGGTATATATAATTGAATCAGCTTGGGTGCTTCGGAGCCGAACATCACCAAACTTGATGTTCGACTACAAAAGTTACATAAGTTCAAGTAAGCATCGAGCTCTATTCTTGTCAATGGTTTGTCTCGTTTGCAATCCTACCTTGGAGGGTGCAGGGACTAGCCACTGTCCCATCCTATTGCCATAATGCCATCCCTAGTTAGCCATGAGGTTGGACTTCCAGGTGTGGTGTCAACTTATTCCCCGTAGATTGTCTACCTAGTTCAAGGCTGCTGAGCCCTAAGAACTGTAATTTCAAGCTAGGCCTAGGCCAAAGGTTCAACCGTGAGCAAGACCTTGGAATTCGACCTTGGTTCCATCTCTGAGGATAATTAGTATCAAAATAATTAAACTATTTCCAATTTATTTGATGATGAGTTCTATAATTCAACACTCCCTTTGTTCTTTTTCACAAACTCCCTTCTTCACCCATTTTAGTGTACAAAACCTAATGCTTCTAATATGATTCTAATATGAAAGGTTAAATTCTTAAACATTAGGTCATCTGCATCTTCTTCTTCTTTTTTGGTAATATAATAATTTTATTAAATGAGTACAAAGGTACCTAAATTCATGACAAAATTCATAACAAAATTCATACCTCAAAACAAAGCAAAGGACTATCAAAACAAAAACTGTCAGGGCCAATACCAGAGAACAAGACCTGATGGAGCATTCCCCTTCAACATTTTATAAACAACTAGTCTCCCATTTCAGCACATAACAACACATAACAATGCAATAAACCTTAAGTGGAGGGTGAACCTGGTATTGTTGTTGTGCATAATTAGTCTTACATATTGATGTTGCCCCTTCTTACTTCTTTAGTCTTTATTGCTGTCCTTGCCAACAAAAACCTAAATTTTGATACAACACCAAAGATCCTCCAATTGTAATGCATGTGACATCTCTCCCTCACAAACACCCCGTACTCGTATTGTAAAACCCGTCACAACCACGTATGTCATCAAAACCCATAAACCCCACACAGGCATTTGATCGAGCACTTGATGTGCATGACCAGAAGAAACTCTAGTCCTGCCTCACTTCACCAATATCAAAGACACAAGGATAGCAATCCCATACCAAAAACACGTACCCCAACAAAAATTAATCCACCATCCAAAACCACTAAATTTAGCAGACTTACTTTGAAACCAAAAGCATGCTTTCACACAAATCTCTGAGATCTATCGAATATTTATAAGTTGTGTACCTTGGCGTTAGTGTTCCAAATCTTGATTGCGTGTCTCTCGATTCTCAATCAAAAGAAACAGAAAAACTCTTGACTTCAAAATCGAAAAAATTGAACCCTCGACTCTTGTGGTAGGCCCATCAAAATGAAAAAATCTTTTAATCATTCAAACCGGAAAGACGTGTTCTCTTGGGTTTGATTTCACAACCCCTCAATATCCAAACCCCATTAATGACATCAGAAATCCAGTGAATAATGTAATCCTTACCAGATTTTTGAATCCATGTCTAGCTTTACGTTTGAACCCTTTGAACAAGGGAGAAAATCTTTCTAAATAACTTTTTTTTATACAATTTTTACATATTTAAATAAATAAATAAATAAATATAATATTATTCATATTTTTAAAATAAAAAATAATTATTACATAATATATAAAATTATAAGAACAAATTTTTTTAAAAAAATCTCTCAACTATTTTTCATAATTCATTCCATAAAACTAAGTTATATTTGTTAATTTGGTTGAACAAAATATTTTTCCTTTTAAATAATGACTATCAACGTGAAATTTGTAACATAATATGCAAAATTTTATGGGACAACACAGATAATCTCTGACAAATATATAAGGTAAAACTTTTAATATTGTATCAAGTTTTTATGGTTTAGATTGAGGCAGTATCCCACCTTATACTGAAGAACTTTTTTGTAGTTAGGACATTCGTTCTCTTTCAAGGTTCCTGCCTGCTCCTTGGATATAAAATTATGAATCATCGTTTTTTATAGAACCGATTGGGACTCGGGATTTTTTACTTCCATTGGCCGCCCTCACTTCCTTGATTTTCTGAAGTCAAGGTCAACGTCGCTATCATTCTCGTTTCTCTCTTAGAAAATTCCAAAAGTCAGAACTTTCTCTGTCAAAAAGGATTTTTTCCGCAGTTTCCATGAAAATCAATCTGAATCCTACTCATACTAAATAAATCAACCCATTCAGTTTCATTTCACCCTTTCCTAATTACCTCATGAGCTTCCGCTAATGGGTTCACTCTCTCTGTACTCCATCACTACCCTGTTTGTCATCTTAGCCGCCATCATTCCTTCCGTGGATGCGGAAGATGATGCAAGGTTTGCAGAGTGCAGTCGACCCTTTAGCTGTGGAATCTTCAAAAACCTTTCTTTTCCATTCTGGAGCGACACTCGACCTTAGTACCGTGGGCATGAGGGTTACAAACTCAAATGCAATGGAGATGGTTCGCACCCTGTTATAGTAATCAATGAGCGTGAGTTTCAAATCCTTAGAATCAATCAATCGGCCCAACCCCAGATGATGACCCTTTCCCGGATGGACTCCGGCATAGATTCTTGTCCTACGGCCTTGAATTACTATCTCTTTAGGCCTGCTAAAACAGTTGTGAATGTGACTCTGCTTCGCTACTGCCCTGAGTCTGACCCTTCATGGGAAAGGATAGAAGCTTCGCATAAAATTCGGTGCACTGTTGATGGTGAACCGACCTACTGATTATTCTTGAGGGATAACGAGCCCCTTCTTGTGGATTGTCGAGATAAAGTGGAAGTTCCGGTTCCAAAGGAGGCTCTTAATCAACTCATTTCAGGAACTATGAGTTTGCGTAAAGCCTTGATGACTGAGTTTAATGTACAGTATCTTGCATACGATGAGTAGTGTTTGAAATGCCAGGGCTCTGGTGGAAGATGTGGATCCGGTCAGCCTTCTTCGCTGTCATTTGCTTGCTATTGTCGCGACCGACCTTATGATATAACATGCGGTGCTGCACAATTAATCTTCCTTTCAACTAGTGTTCTTATTTAAGTTAATAACAGTTATTAGTCCACTGAAAATTGAAAAAATATACCTTAGAGTGGCCTACCTTGCTTTGTTTCTACTCATTTTTCACTTGGACCAAGTTAGTTTTTTCCCTAAGGTCGTGAGGTCTGCAGTGGATTCGTGTCGAAGGTTGAAATCTCAAGTTAAATTAGCAGTTTACTGTATTTTCATAAACTTGTTTAAGAAACAACTTCAGTGGTCCTCTTCTGTTCTTCATTTTTCCTTCTGTGTGACCACTAGCTCATGCCAGGTTTCTAGCTCTTCAATGATTGATTCATTGCTTTTGACATTTAGTGCATTGGTGGGTCTGCTTTTGATGTAGTACTTGTGCCTGGTTTCAACATGTCAATGGTATTGAGCCCTCATGGACTGGATTTTTCCCGCCAACCTAGTGTCAATGCCCGTCTTCTCTTTCTATTCTGAATGCATTCGATCTTGGCTTCTTGCAAAATTCTTGCTCTACACATTCAATCTAAAACCCATCAGGGTTATTTATTTGGAATATCTATCTGTGTCTGTGTCTGTTATTCCTTGGATTATCATTTTCTCCTAACTTTGATTTCGAACGGAATTGAAAGCAATGACAAAAGACATCTCTTCCTTTTTTTTCCACACTTTCTGTTCAACCAAGTCTCTCTCAAGTTTGTCCAATGATCTTGTCAT